TTCTTTTCAAACCAACTTTCCATATCTACCCCCTCGGAATAAAATAAAATGACATGATCACTACAATAAATATTACTAATGGAATATTTCATCAATTATCACGATTATTTCAGGTTAAAATAATCCGAGTGTATGTAACAGCTGCGTTTTTTTAACTATGAATTCGATTAAATGATACAATTTATTCGCATATTGAGATATTTTAAAGAAAAACCTATAATCGATCTTTCCGCCAAGGAAAAGAGAGAGCTCACAGATTTAAATAATCTGTAAAAAAAAAAAAGCTTGATCAAAAGCCGCCGGTATATGTATTCCAATAATACTGATTCCGGTTGTATTTAACGCAAACGACATTATAATGATTATGTAATAACGACGTGATTCCTCTTCTGAGTTCGTAGCGAAAGAAATGGAAAATCGATACTATCGCGAAACAGCCAGGAACCTCTCGCCATTTGTGAACGGGAAAGCGAGGAAAAGGAAAATCGGCTGCACGCGGCTGATAATATTCAGATACTTTTACGTCGTTTCTTCTTGTCGACTTCAGTCGAAATGTATATCGTTCTGCAAAAATGAAATAAATCCTCTTCCTTTAACTTCTAGTTTTTAAAATGTACCTCTTTGCAAAAAATTAATAAACATAAGTAGTACTAATTAAAGATAATGTGAGCTTTTAGACTTTCAACTGTGTTTCTGTTATTCGTTGGAGCTTACGCTGTAAAAGTGAATTCATTAATTAACGATCTGTGAACAGACAGACATTATATTCACATATTGTACAATTCACGGGCTTCTACGTATTTATAATTAAGTATTCGAGACTAACGTTTCAGTTTAAGACACTCCTATATTCGAGCGAGTTATAATACCCACATAAGTACCTACACGATATATATCCGGTTGGATTTCTGTAATGCCAATTTATAGGACATACAGAATCTCACGCGAGAGATAGCATTATCATCCATGCCTTTTTCGCTAAAAGAATTATTTTTAAAAAATCCTAGTTTGAAAGGACATTCAATCCGTAGTTTGAAGGGACATTCAGTGATTTGAGGACAACTCACACGCTGTGGCTTTCCGCTCGTAGTTAACTGAATTGCTTTTGGACTTGTGTGTAATCCTATTATGACTACCGATTGGACTTTGGCTAAGGAAAAAATTGCTTTCGAATGTGTAGGATCTGCGGCCGTTAAAGCGTCGACAATATCCTAGAATTGCTGAGCGTCGTTTCTCGTTTAACACATGGGGAGGGAAATTCGGAGGTTGAGAGAAGAGATACGGAAATGCGCCGTAACGCGAAATCCTTTAATCGCTTTTTTCTTCTACGCGCATTTGCGCGTAATCGAGCGTGAATTAAACGTGAAGAGTTTGGTGCTATATTCGCACTATATACGTCCGTTCGTTTTTAACGAAAAGTATTTTCGACGCGCAATGTAATGGTTTAGTTGATCGCATTTTCAATTGTAAAAAGAGAAGAGAGAAACAGAATAAAAGGTGTATCGATACTGTAAAAGGGCTTAAGTATTCGCTGCATTTTAATTGTGTCGGGCTATCGAACGCATTCTGTTTCGTATTTTTATTTCGTGAAAGAGTTTGATAAACAGAAACGATAAACAGAAACATATATTTGAAAGGAATATACGACAAACGTAATCACTGACTTAATTTATTAAACAAGCCAAGATCTTCCCCTCCTGTGTAACATCTTTTACAGTTGTAACTGCTTCTTTATATCTGATGCAAGAAGCGAGAAGATGCATTTATTATATTCTCTTGAAGAGTATAATTAGAAAATATATTAAATAACGTTGCAATTTATTCTTATAATTAATTTTTATCTTTTTCAATGTTTTCTTTATCTCTCCCTTTATTGTGTCACAACTGATACAATCACAAGCTATTACGATTCCTCCTCTCTGTTTCTCTCCCCTCATTGTTTCTCGTGAGTAAGAGTCTATTCGTCTTGCCATGCGATACAATACGATAGACGGTTATCGATTTGGATCTATCCAGATCAACAGTATGCTTTATAGTTTATGGGACAACGAAGGATTCTTGCGAGGAATATCCGGCACACGTGTGTCAGAAATAGTCGCCATAAATAGGGATTTCCGTCGTTGGATCGATCTCTCGACGGAAGATAAAGCCCCTTTGTAGCTTCTATCGTGATTTCTCTGGTGAGCAATGTGCCAAATTGTTTATCGGTTGTCTCGCCAAATATAAATTGGTCTCCTAATAATTTAGCAGCATTCGACACAGAATTTTGTTCGAATCGTATTTTTAGCGTATTTTTGATATAAGAATAAAAGAAAAAGATGAAGTCAGAGATCTTTGCACGCTCCATTTAATAAAATTAGTGTAAACAAATTAAATATATACATATATACATATTTAAATCTCACAATATCTAACCCTTCACCAGTAACATAAATTTTAACTCTTTTGTCAATAATAGAAATCTTTTCAAGAAACAAAGTAAATTTTGTATTGTTCCCGATTGAAAAAAAATTCTAGTGTACTTATCAAAGCGAATTTTTATCATCACACAAGTCGGATTGTATCTTATTTATTTTTTACAGATTTAAATTCATCTGTTAAAATTCATAATCAAAATAATGCCTTTAAAAATTCTAGTTGCCGAAAAATTAATAACGATACGTATTATTAAATAAATATGAAGTTCTCGAAGCAATTTAATGCAACGAAAAGTCCAAAAATGTCAATGTAAAAATACAATATTATCGAATAGTATTACGTTATTATTGGAACAATATTATTCAACAATATTGTGTAAAAGGCTTTCAAAGAAATGGAGATCGGAGTAGGATCATATCGCATTCAATCGTACGGAAATCAACGTATTCACTGTCCCACGCAGCTTATGAAATTTTCCTTTTGTACACAATAAATATGTTAAGCGACACGATAGTCAGAGTAGCGGAGCATTCTTATACAATATCAACATAGTGTATGTACATCCTGTACATCATATTCCGATCAGTAATAGGGCGTTTTATCGACCTATCGATCGAAATGTGATCAAACGAGGGATGAAACAAGGGCACGAATGACGTTTTAAGGAGGGTAACGGCACCGTTCGTCGATGAATAATTCAACCGTTGATTTGCACGACTCAGTGGAAATGTCGGATTCGATTTCGACATCGGTTCTGTCGCTCCCTCGTGGCGTCGATCGGCGCGCTTAAAATGAGCTTCCACTGCGCGCTCATAATTCGTTCGCGATGAATAAATGACGCAGGATGTGCCTGTCGCTTAAAGTTATCAGCCGATGTTTTTAACTGCAGACCGGCGACAAATTGGAATCGATTTTTCCTTGGCCATTTTCTCGATATCATTGCTTCAACGGTTTTATTATAACGTTAGGAAAGAAATAAAAAATAAGAAATGTTATGTCAGATATTTGGAAGGAAAAGGTTGAAGTTTAATATCTAATAACCAATTTAAATTCTCTCTCTCTCTTGATCTACAATTTTTTTTTCTTGAAGAACGAAGTTACAGAGAGGCGTATCGTTAGGTTGAAATATACGACAGGCTTCGGCGATAAGCGTACCGGAAATTAGAATTCTAATTTCCGTTTGATCAAAATGCGATTCCCACAAGTGTACTCGTCTCGAGCATCAATGCGCGCTGCATATTTCAACGCGAATAATCACGTGGTCGCGATATGACGATATTTCATTTCATGCGTGCAAAACGAGCGCTCTCATAGAGTTTTAATGCATCGCGAGTTAATTAGGACCTGAAGAGCACCGCCGGCTCTGTGACGTGGATTTTCGCGCTCTCGAGGTATTCGCGCCTTCTTTCCGCGCCGAATTATTTATTGCCGTCCATTTGTCTCCACAAATACGTCGACAAATATAAATCGAGAGATAAAGAAGCCGTTCTAAGTCTAACGTCGCAACTTTTCAGCTCTCTTTTTTTAACGTTATATAATACTTCTCGTTTCACGCAATACTTCGTATAGTAATTTATCGGATGAAAATTTACCACAAAGAAACGGTACAGGGAGTGGATGTAAATTTATTTCGTTAATGAGCTCAACAGGTGCGTGGAAAATGAATATCGACCGAAGATTGTGAAGCCTCTTAATTTCGCGGTTACTTGAAAATAGCTCGCCCGCGTACGTTCCTATCGGTGAAATCCGTTTTTAATCGAATTATGCGTGCTTTTTCTAATCTTTCGGTGAATGAAGTCGAATCGCGAATGAAGAAAGAAAAAGAGAAATGAGGAAGGTGAATTTGGTAGATTAAGCACGAAACTAGCACGGACGGAACCAAACCGGAGGAATCCTCCAATCCTTCTCAGAGGAAATGAGAATCGTGGAAGTGAGAAGACAAAGGAAGAAGATGCGCTTTTGTACGCTTTGAGCGAAAGAGAATCTCATTGGAAACGAGCACCTCGACGAAAATACGTTTGACATAAGAAGATGGGAGAATTCTTCTTCCAGTTATTGCCTTGACGGCTTCAAAAGTTTTATAGTTCGTTCTGTAATTAACGCGAGTAGAATTGCAGCGATGCGCTTAATAATAATAAGAAAATATATGCGTCACGAATTTTTAATTTTAACAACAAATGCCTTTAATACAAAATGAGAACTTAATCCTCTCTCTGTATTAAATTTTATGTTTTGTACTTTTTTGGAAAAAAAAATAGGAATATTAAATTCTCTCAGGACGTAATATAATTTTTTTCATCGTTATGGTAATTAATTTAATTGATCATCAAATTAATCTTTTTAATGCTCCTCATTGATCTTAATTTTAAATGCTCTCTGGAGGAATGTTCATAAAAATATCCAAATTAAATCAAAATTAATGAAAACGAGTTAATATTGAAAAAAAGAGACCATTTCAAATAAAAAAGATTATTATTAAAATAAAAAGAAAATGTATCAAAATATTTTTGGATAACGATTTCGTCTTGAGAGTTAATCTAGAACCAATTCGCTTAACCGAATAACTTTTTGTTCATACTCACCCCACTTCGCCCAATTTGACCGCTGGTCTTGGATTGGTCCCGGAATAGTTGGTAATCGCGAGACAACGGCAAACAACGGCAATCCCGTCGTCGAGAAGCGGTGCAACCTGCCGAGATTTAATTGGCCGTTAAACGATCGTTCGCTTCAGCCCACGAGCAAACCGAGATGTTCTCACTCTTCGTTCAATTAACACTAATTACCCGTAACCGTGGCAATAACTGATATATATATATAAACACACACACATATATATCGAAGTACGAAAGGACACGCGCGGTTAGTTTCCGATAAATCAATAAGCCGTAAGACGTTACAGAATATAAATACAAAAAGAATATTAATTTTGCAATTTTTATCTTGGGATGTCGAAATGGAATAATTCTAACTGACACACAATTTTTTTCACTTAAAATTCTTAATTTTGAAACATCCTGCACAATCAAAGAATATCGTGCTTTTTTATGCGAAATATGATTTTTTCGTAATGATCGTAAACGGATATTGGATCTTACTAAATCTCTCTGAGACACACACACACACACACACACACACACACACACACACACACACACACACACACACACACACACACACACACACACACACAGTTTTGAAACGCGACCACGTTGAGTGCGTTATTGCGTTTCGGGCACAAACAAACTGGTCTGTTTGGTCGAACCCGATCAAATGCTGCTGTGACCAATTAACAAACGTTGCGCGTACAATGTGGTATTCGTGGATCGAGAACAATGTCGAAATAATTAGTATAGCGAACGTACTGTGTAGGAGAATAAATGTATTAGTTAGAAACATATGAATCAGAGTTCTTTGTCTACATCTATGTATAATGTATATATATATATATATATCTTTGACATATTTATATTACAGAAAATAAAACAGGAAAATTTCTCTTTTTCTCTCTTTCTCTCATAGTCTACCCCATATTTTTTCTACAATATTTTGCAAACACTATCTTGCTTTACATTTGTTCATTAACTTTGGTAGTGACACAGCCAGAGACACGCATTGAAAGGACATTTCTCTTGCACAATAGCTTTTCAGTAGGTAATTAATATACGAACAGCGTTGTGTCACAGGACAAACGCGTTCGTTAGAAAACGAGACCCTTCCAATCCTTTTAAATGAGACCATTATGGCTTAATGAATACAAACGCAAACATAAATTTTATAAAAGCTGTAAAAAAAGCGTGTTATAAATAACTTGAATGTAATAAATTATATTATCTAGAATAAAAAAGTATACGTGTGTTCCGTACTTGCTTATAATAATAATAATAATAATAATGTCAAAAGATGATATTTGCATATATGTAAAACAGGATGTTGAAAAATCTTTCAGCATTTATATGTCGTGAAAAGAGAGAAATTGAGATAAGCACTGATAGTTCATTTAAAGAGAGAATTACTTTTATTAAAAGAGAGAATTACAGGTCTAATGAGGTGATCTTACATAATGCCTATCCAATTGTAATAACTGGTTGATGCCAACTTGCTGATTTCAGATGAAATTTATCATTATAAAAAATATGTATGTATGGGGAAATTGAATCAAAACAGTCAGAACGCGGTTTGTAAACACCGAGGTAAATCTTCAAGTCGCATATGACACGTAGAAAATAAGTCAGAGTTATGACACTAACATACAAAATTATTTATATCTCAGAAAGAAAGTTAAGTTTTTCGATTAAAACCCTTGTTCGTTAAAACCTTTTCACTTGGTATAGTGTGTACTATCTACCATATACCTAAATGTGTGCTGAATGGTTTTTTAAACATCCTGTATATTTAAAAGATAAATTTATACACATATAAGAGATTTTACTGTAAATAATAAATATTTGGTATATTTATTGTATGCAGTATAGGGCGGGGCTATTCTGTCTCAGTTTCAACTTTAAAATAATATGAAACTTTACAACAACAAGTATGATAATATCTCTTTGCAGTGATGTGCTTACAACTATATCATACAATCATGATTGTTCCTTGAGAACATAAGCAATCTTTAAATGTTCAATATGTGCTGTTCAGAAACATAAATATTATTGTGAGAAATGCACCAAAAAGTGGTAGAGCTCCGCTCTACCTTATATCTAAGATAATATCACTATTTTCGGAATACAGCTTTTAAAACCCGTTATACGCTTGAAGATACCAGACATCGTTTCATAATATCTCTTTTATAATAACTCTTTTTTTATGAGCGCAAGTAACATTGCAGCAGATCGTTTATACGCCATGGGTAATAAGTTAGCGGAAAGCGCTGTTTCGAGCATCGAATGCATTCCACTACGATGGATGGGAAAGATGAAGAAGACGAAGAAGAAGAGAAGAGGAAGAGGTGGGGGGGGGGGCAGGGAAGGCAGGTAGCTTATTAAATTCTCTAGCGAAATACATACAGCAAAGCGAATACGGCTACTCTTCCCGGGCTCAAGTTAATAACTCTCTTTTATACATGGTGTCCTAAACCTTAGTGGAGCCACTTTTCATCTCCGAATTCTTTGACCAATTTAGAGTTGATCTTTCCTCGGAACGGAAATGTCAAGAGAGATTATTATTCGAGTTAGCAATTTTTTAATCTTAACTTGAATTTTTTAATTAATTGCAACCTATTCTATATTGAGTGTATCATCTTTCGCTAACAAAGAATACCTTCTTGATGTTAAATTCAAAATCGAATGTTATCCACTAGTGTGTGTGTGTGTTTAAATGTTGTTAATAATATAATATCTATATTATTTAGTACTATTAAATGTTCAAATATTTAAATTAATTCTAATTAGTTGATATTCTTTAATTTTAATTCATTATATTTTATTAAAGAAACAAATAAATAAATACATTCGTACAAGAAGAATACACATAGAATACTTTCGAGCGTTTTCAATAATTAAAACACCATGACATTTGGATTTAAAACGTTAAAACATTAAAACATTTAAAACTGAAACGTATTTTATTATTAAACGTTTGTTTTTAAAAAAATGTTTTAAATGTAAACATTTTCTTCACTGCATTTTTTCCCAGTGTATTTTGACAAATTTGTTAAAACAGTAACTTTCAATATAAAAATATTTATAAACATTCTATGATTAAAATACGACAGATTTTTCAAGCAGTTTATCATAGTTCAGAGTCAACGTTTCTCGTTAGCAAGTTTCTTAATGGAATTTAACATGCTCGACAAAGAAACCCCCGTCCCAAAGGCATTAAACGTAATTGAAAGAAAATGCGTTCAGCTCGTATGTTGTCATTTCATCCGTTTTTGCTACATGCGCCGTAAGAAGTACAATTTACTCTCTATTTAAAAAAAAAACTTCGCCAGAGCACAGAATATCGTGCTGCGTCGATAAGAGAGGCAACGGTGGCCTCCTAAAAGCTATTTGCACGCCCTGAATCTACGTGAAGGGTTAAAAGTATCTACGTAAACCGGATGGAGCTGAAAAGCGTGCCGTAAAAGGCATGTATACACGGTGTCCCGGAACTTACCGGATATTTCCTTAACCATACCATATTTAAGATAATAATTTGGAGCAGTCTTTCTTGAAAAATCAATGTTTCAACAGCTTCGGATAATTATGCAGGAAAATCCTTTCCTCGGAGAATATTCTGTCATCATCGCGATGATATATAAAATTGAGAGAGATATGCGATTTTTAGGTCTTCTTTTAGATCTTTCTAATTTATCTATTAATTTCTATTTAGTCGTGCGTTGCATAATTTTAATAGCCCAACATAATATACGTATACATAATATTTTCTTTCTCTTATTTCGCTCCGCGGTACATCCTGCGGGTATGTGTAATGAAAACTTTTGCAAATTTTAATAACCTGCACTCGTCCACGTCATTGTTAATGAAAGCACCTGGAAGACGAAAAACATGGCCGGTAAACATTAACTGTTTTCGTAATTCTCGGGCTGTCAGCTCTTTCCCGGGAAAGCGGAAAAAGTCAGGGTATTTTTCTTTGGTTGGAAATATCAACTAAAAGTTGAATAATTTTAACTAAAACCTTGTAATCTCTATTTTTTTTGTTCGTACAACCTATATAACAATGCAAAAATAACAAAAAAAATTTTCAAGTATATAATGTGTAATAATGTAATTTATAATATACATATATGTAATAATGTAACGTAATATACATTTGAAACACATGCTTATTCACAAAACGTCGATCAAATTTTTTATCTCAAAATCTTTTCTCCTATGAGTTTTTTTAATAATATGTAACAAGAAAGAAGAAAAAAAGAGAATATAAAATATAAATCATATAATCATATAAAAAAGCTTCTTACAGTTTGCGCGTTGCTTATAAAAGGCACATAAATAATACATTTTTAGTATAGCGTACATAAATTATTTTTAGAAATTTTCGAAGCACTTAATTTCATAAATTGTCTTTAACGTTGATAGTACAATCATTATCGGGCAATAGGGAGGAAAATAATTTTTAGTATGCGCGAACATGAGAAATCGGTTTTAACTCGAAGATATTTCATGCGTTCATGCTATCCGTGTGTATCCACAAATTTACAATGCGGCCGTTCCGTTATCCTCGGGGGAAATTACACTCACGGTGGTACGATAAACTTCGAGCCAGACGCTAATTATTACTCGGAAAGGCAATCTATCCGGCCGTGTAAAAGTCATATCGATTACTGCGTTAGATGTACCAAGTTCTCGGTATCCCTTCTGGTACATGGAACAGGGAACTTCTCTCTATCGCGTTTAATTAAAAAGAAACAACTCGCACAAGACATACCCAATCGATTCATCTGATTGTGGAAATGTGATAACGTTAATTGATCGTAAATATTTAATTACGTGTTTCATTGTAAATATCGAAATTGTTCGCGCACGTGTGGAAGAAGATTCAAGAGGTTTATATGAATAAATTCTCCGTTAAATTCTTCATTTACATATTCAACGTACATCATGCTTTCGAGACGATGCGAGAAAATAACGGAAAATAATAGCGGTAATCCGGCATGCGTGTAACAGCTGCTATTTCTGGTTAAATTTCATACTTTGCGTTTAAGAAGCTAGGAAAGGCTTTTGTGCGCCGTCTCGAAAATTGTGA